GCATCCCATGAAATGAGGCAAACATATTCTTAACTCTTTGTTTTTAAAAAGAAGTGTCTGTATGAAATACATGTATTATATTTCAAACTTGTGTACCTCTTTTCTCTGTGGATTATATTATTATGTCTGGTTTGAAGTACGATTCATATATTACAATTCTAAACTGATATTGTGACTTCAGCAAGACTATAAAGGAATTCCAGGGCTATATTCGCAAGTCTGGAAAGTTAAAACCATTGTTTCATTTGACTGCCAAGAAAACTGTTGCTGTGTCATTAGGAGTTGAGCGCAACATTAAGGAGATTTAAAAACAAACAAACAAACAAACTAGACATGACAAAAGAATCATGTGCTGTGCCAGCACTCAACACATTTCTACTGAAGGTGTTTTCTGTCCGAATTTCAAACATTCACTTTAAATGGCCACCCACTTAATTGTGCTGAGAAGGGCTTCCCCACGGTTATGTACAAAAACAAGCTTCATAATTGCCACTCTGTTTTACTGCAGATGCAGAATTCCTCTACTCAAAGGGCTGCCTTCTGTGTTACATTTCTGGCGTATGCCAAAAGCACATGATACAGACTCCATGAAATTTATTTCTACGTGCTGCTCCTCTTTACCCTATTTATGGTGCACATAATAAACAAAAACCCTGAGACTTCCGGTGAATTTTGCGCGCGCGATGGCGGCTACTTTGTAGCCGTCCTCCTGGGCAAGTGTAAGAACCGCTATGAACAGCAGACATCAGCTGTTCAGCGGTTCAAAATCCCCCTCCCGGGCAAAGGGGGGGGCAGAGAGTGTCTGAATAGTGGTAGAGCCTCTTTTGCACCCCCCAATTTTTTTTGGGGGGGTGAAAGGAGTGCTCCCACAGAGTTCAGACTTGTCTCCGCTTCCCAGCTGTTTTTGTCCTCAGGGACAAAACGAGCCGCTGCAAACACCTCCGTGATTAAAGAGAACTGGTGAGTTTTTTTTTTAAACGGACAGAGCTGAGTAGAGGATTTGTTTTTTTGCTTTCTTTGATTTATTCGGATTTTAAGTTTTAAGACCTGTTTCTATTTTTATTCTCTCTTTTTATTTATTTTTTTTCTTTGTTGAAAGGGAAAGTAAAATGGCGATCGGCAAACCTCTCGGTGTTTTTTTTTCGGAAGTTAGAATGCTGACCGGCAGGCTTTTTGGTGCTTATTTTTTTTTTCCCTTTCCTTTTTCCTTTTCCATTTTCTTATGATTGGAATGGACTGTTAGAATTATTATTTTTGTAATGACCTTCTTTGGAGGGAGTTATGATTTTTGAAGGAATTCTTATAATTTTTTTTAAGAAGGATTAAAGGCCTTTTTCTTAAGATGGCCCCAAAGCGTCCAGGGATTTCTACAGCTTCTAAATCAATAGTTCCACCCCCTTCTGGGGGTCAGCTAACAACTATGGAGGATTTGCAAGATATGATGGGAAATGCTATAACTCAAATTAGGGCAGAAATGAAAAAGATTTTAGAGGAAAATAATAAGATCTTGAGACAAGACTTTGTTTTGGCTTTAAAAGGAGTTGCTTCTGTTCTTGAAAAGGTGAACTCCCATGTAGAAGAGGTAGATGAGAAAGTGGAGATAATGGAGGGGAAAATTGAAAGTATGGAAAAAGAAATGGAAAATGAGATTCTTATGCTTCAATATGGACAAATGGAACATGCTTTAAGAATTAGGGGCTTGGGAGAGTCTCTGCAAGGAGATTTGAAAGAGATAGTTGCAAAGGATTTTGCATTGATTTTGAACAAAGAAAAAGAGGGAATACTTAGTGAAATTGAAAAATTATTTAGGGTTAACTCTGTGGTGGCAACACAAAAGAATCTACCAAGAGATGTGGTAATTTACTTTGGCAAAAGATCTTTACGCAATGAAATTGTACAAGCTTATTATAAGAAGAGATTTCAAATTGCTTCACAAGATGTTATAATCTTTAAGGAGATCCCATCAAAAATTTTAAGAAGAAGAAAGGAGTTTGCTTTTCTAGCAAATGAACTTAAAAAGAGAAAAATCCTATTCAGATGGAATGTCCCGACTGGAATGGTGGTGAATTACCTGGGGACATGTTATAGACTTAATACTGTTTCTCAAGCAAAAGATTTTTATATTTCGGTCCTGGGAGTATGCGCATCGCCATCTATTAAGTTTAAAGCTTTGGAAGAAAAGAATGTAGAACTACAGTTTGAAGAGCCTATATTTATGAAAATTGGGGAACCCCTGTTTGAGAGGCCCCAACAAGTTCAAGTTGAGGAGCAGAAGACAACTTGTGCAGCATACAATTGTAAAGAAAAGCAGCAACAGAAGAAGGCTAAGGAGGTTTCATATTCAGTGGTTTCTGAATTCCTGGGAGAAGTTAGACCCATAAAGCCTTCGGAGCAATCTTCAAGGGTGGAACTGCTGTCTGAAATGGAAATTGGGAAGGCTCCGGAGTCACTGAGAGATTCAGGAATTTTGGAGCAACAGAACAAGGTTAAGGAGGTTTCATATTCAGTGGTTTCTGAATTCCTGGGAGAAGTTAGACCCATAAAGCCTTCGGAGCAATCTTCAAGGGTGGAATTGCTGTCTGAAATGGAAATTGGGAAGGCCCCGGAGTCGTTGGGAGATTCAGGAATTTTGGAGCAGTCTTCTAAGGCAGAATTTGCAGCATTTCTCTTGAGTATGATACGAGGATCGATGACAATGGATAACTGAGACTGATAATAATGACACTAGTATAATTCAGACTGATAAGGATGGAGTTTCTTATGGTTGGAATTTGTTATTGGTGAAGATTGAAATGTTTAATGTGTTTATTGTAGATAGACGTATAAGGGAATTTTAAAGTTTCAAGTTTTAAATTTGTGTTCTGGAGGGAGTTTATAAAGAATAATGATAATATTAGTAATTATTATTATTATTACTTATAAGATGAAATTTGATTAAATTTGCATAGGGGGATTTTAATGTTTTAAGTTTTCAGTATTGTTTAAGTTTGTGTTTTGAAGGGAGTATAATTTGTTTATTCTAGCCAGGGGACTTTAATGTTTTAAGTTTTTTGTGTTTTGAAGGGAGTATAACCTGTTTAAGTTTTAAGTAATGTTTAAAATTGTCTTTTTAAATATTATTATTAATTTTTTTAAGAGAAAATAATTTGCTTAACTAAAAGTGTCTAGATTTGTTTAGGATCTATATGTTTTTTAGGAGAGAAGATTATGAAGATTGAAGGAAATATGTACTTATTTTTAGTTTTTAAAGAGTACTTAGTTTTAATGGTATAATAAAGGTTTTTTTTTCTTGTTTGTTTTAGGATAAAGAAAGAGGGAGAAATTAGACTTTATATTATAGGTATAGATATTCAAAGAAAGTAATGTTTAAATTTGTGTTTTTCGGAGGGAGTTTATATAGAATGATGATTGTATTTAGATTTGTTTAGGTTTTAAAAGTGTTTTAAGTTTTTTTTTGTTTTTTTTTCAATTAAGCCTGTACTCAGCTCTGGGAAGTCTAGGGGGAGGGTTTGGGAGGTTGGGGGGGGGGTGAGGTGGAGGGGGGTATGGGAAGGGGATTTGTTTTTGTAAAATTTAAAAATTTTCAATAAAAATAAAAAAAATAAAAAATAAATAAAAACCCTCATTGTTAAGAACCCATCAGAATTTTTCCTCCCCCACCCATAGAGGTAAGAATCTATGCATGATAGTAAATTATAGATAGTGTACTGTATATTCCTGCCCACCTAGCTGTTCAAAAACATGCAAATGCAAGAAGGTAAATAGGTACCACTTCGGTGGGAAGGTAATAACTTTCCATGTGCCTTGGTGTATAGTCATGATGGCCACATGACCCAGGAAGTGTCTTCAGACAATGCTGGCTCCCTCAACTAAGAAACACAGATGAGCACCGCCCCCTAGAATCAGGCACAACTGGACAGGGGAAACTTACCTTTACCTTTACTGTAACAAGATAAATGGATATAATAGGTTGAGATAGTTTTCGCTTTCAATCAATAGTCAATAGTTGCCTAAATATTTGCCAATGAATGCCAATTCTGATTTTTAATCAGGTTTGAATTTTCCCAAATAATGCATAAAATTCTTCAGGAATACACAGGAGTCGCCTATAAATATATGCATATAATCTGAAAACATTTTTAATTTTTTTAAAGAACATCCAGATTCCCTCACAGTTTTGTTCCATACAGCATCAACCTTGTGAACTCTCAAGCTTCCTCTTCCCGCTATGTATTCAAGATGGACTGTGATTAATATTTATGTGTATTTATATGTAAGGGTGTAGGTATATACATATGTATGTATATAGCATGTCCATATGTGTGTTATGTGTGTGTACAGTTTTGAGAGCAGGCAACAGAATTTCATTTTTAATGAAAATGTGCCCACAGTAAAAAATGACAATAAAGGTTATCTTATCTTATAATCATGGGAATAAAATGATGATTAGAGTAAATGTGGGAGAGAATATCTGCAAACCAGAATAGATTAATCCAAAAGAATTGCATATATAGTTCAAATGTAGGTTGAAATGACATGAAATATAGATTACATTGTACTTACAATAAATTTATTTTACTTATTTTCTTATTAATATTCTTATTTCTAAAGGAAACCAGTTTGGTTTGTAACTGGTGTCAATGATCTTCCTTTCCCTTTCTGCCTTTTTTTCCTTCCTTTCCTTCCTATTTTGGAGGAAAATCTACAAAAGAAAGACTTTGTTGCTCTTCACGGTACAAAATACCCCCAGTTCAGGTTAGGATTCCTTTAGTTTATTAAAGTGTATTAAAACAAGAAAGAGAGAATTGTACAATGACCCTAATTAATAATCCTCAGTTTATTTATTCAGTTGCCAGTATTTATATTGAGAATTTGATAGTAAAGAAAACAAGTGATACATTTGCATGTATAGATAATATTTTTCAGCTAACACAAATATATACCTTCTGATTAGACATATCATTCCAGATGAGTAAGTTTTTCTGTAATATATTTTCCAGATTAGAACAAGAAATAGGAAAGCTTGAATGTGAAGAATCCCAAATATCTGCCAAAGAACAGCTCATCTTAGAAAAACTAAAGGAGACAGAAAAATCTTTTGAGGACTTACAAAAGGTAAGATGAAAAACAAAATCCAAACAACTTGATATTAAGAGAAAACTTTTCTTTCCAACGACATATAAATATAGATAGGTACAATGGAAAAACTTCACAGAAAAATGGAATTAGATTAAAGTCAGATAAGTCAATAGAAAAGTAGGCCTTATTCGTTTATTAAATTTGATTCCTGCCTTTAACACTAATTCATAGGCTATATAGAGTGGCCAGATATTCAAGTTAACCATGAAAAGATTTTGTCTTCAACAATGTCATCACAACACAAAAGCAGATATGAACATTATTCAATTTAGTGGCTGGATACTTCCTCAAAAGCAAGTCTTACAGAGGTCAGTGCAGTTAAATACCTTTCCAACTTCAAATCTATTCCTAGTATTGCTACACTAACTGGAAAGATGGGCCTCACATTTGAAATATATCTGAGGGCTGCCAGTTTAAGGAATGCTGGCTTATTGGTACTGCAGCCTAAGAGTGATGAAAAAAATAAATCACTAAATGTAATAATAACTAGAAGTAGAATGTCTTATATATTTAAATATTACAGAATGCTATCTAGTTTATCTTGAAAATTTAAGATTAAATATTCCAAAGTCCTTTTTCTGGTGTTAAAATAGTTTATGCAGTTTATTATTATAATCCAGAACCACCATATGGAGATTTATTCTGCAAAAATCCTTATGTGTAACTGCCAAGATACTTCAGAGATTCTAGGTGTCCCCATGTATAAAATTATTCATGATACTATAATTGATTTATGCATTCACTGAAGAGTTTATTTTTCCAAAGAAGCTGTTGGGATGCTGAACATATTTAGGTAAAAGAAGAAATTGAAATTTGAACTTATGTAACTGGCAATAAAGAAATTCATAATATCCTAGAATATTGTTAAATCAAATGTTCTCTTTCAACAATTCTTGCTACTTTGTGAAGCTTCTGCCTTTTTCCAAGTCAGATAAAGTCATGGGACATTACCTGCATCAAACTCAAATTGATTCAGTCAATTTTTATTTATCCTGGTCCTCAACCAGAATGTCTCCCAGAATGGATCACTTTTCAGTTAGAAGCTACAAAACTAAAACTTTTAAAATCTTAAAATGCACAACAGAAGAAAGAAAATTAATAGAGATGGGCGAAAACAAAATTTATGCACCAGCTTCTACTATCACTAAGGTCTTACAATATCTAGTTAGATAGAAATTGTTCAGGAACAATGGATTCAGAAAGAATTTTTCTCTTAGCAAGGTCAGGGAAATGACCCTGCTTCCTATCCCTGCTCTGACAGAATAAAGTTACACTTCATTTAATACTTAATTAAGATACTTAAAATGCAATTTACAGTGTGCTGCGTTGAGGGAGGTCATTTTAGGCAGATTCGAAAGCAATGAACTTGATCTGAAGTCAGCACAGACTCTGTAGTTCCCTTCATAATATTCCACAAATTACATTGATTTCACGGCAGGATCCACATGCCTAGCTATATTCTGGAAGAAAATTGAAATGTTCATCCTGCCCAATAGGAGCAGAAATCATACTTTCTCTCAAAGGAACTGCCATGTAAGACAACGCTGTTGGAATACTGAACACATTTAGGCAAAAGAAGAAAATGGAATTAGGCGAGATGGGTAGGGTATAAGGTTAATTAATTAATTAATTAATTAATACAAGGAACATTTATGAAATTCTAAAGAAGTGTTGGCACCTCAACAAGCTTCCATTGCCAGAATTAAAGAAGAAGAGCGTGTAAATTAAATTACAAAATGCATGTAACATGTATCTGGTTCTGATTATGAGCTGTGGTGGCGCAGTGGTTAGAATGAAGTACTGCAGACTAATTCTGCTGACTGCCAGCAGTTCAGTACCGTAAATGCCGGCGTACAAGGTGACTTCCGCGAGCGCTGAAATCGCCGCCAAAGATGGGGGTCGTCTTATACGCCGGGTCGTCTTATACGCTGGAAATACTGGTAGTTTCCGGCGTATAAGACGACGTTCTAGGAATGCGGCCCGGCTATAAAGACGGGGGTCGTCTTACACGCCGGGTCGCCTTGTACGCCGGCATTTACGGTAGTTTGATTCTTACCGGCTCAAGGTTGACTCAGCCTTCCATCCTTCTGGTAAAATGAGGATCCAGATTGTTGGAGGCAATATGCTGACTCTGTACACCGCTTAGAGAGGGCTGTAAAGCACTATGAAGCAGAATATAAGTCTAAGTGCTATTACTATTGCTAATTACATATTTAACTTACAAATTCCTTTACACTACACATAGCGCATGTTTCAACCAGTAGAAGAGAATATTTATAGCTCAGGGTTGAACTGTGGAGTCCTTGGTGCTCTCTGAGCTTGGTTGTTTTCTTGTAGACATTTCATTACCTGACTAGATAACATTATCAGTGCATCATAAGTCGGGTAATGAAACTTATGCAAGAAATCAACCAAGATCACAAAGCACCAAGGACTCCATATGCTTCAACTGCATGTATATGCTACTTACCAGAAGATTGTTATTTCTATTTCTGAGAGCTATGAACTCAGACTTAGAGCACCTTCTTTCTGATATGTCTATTAAAGAGGGATAGTGATGCTTGGTTATTTGAAAGCATGCCTGGTTACCTTGCAGAGTTCCACCTCTGTTGCTGACTATACAGACAAGAGAGCCATTATAATTGGGGAACAGGTCATCTTGTGTATATGTCCATCCATGCTGGGTGAGAAAAAAAGAAGCTTTTGTTTCTCACAGCCAACAGAGAAAGAAACCGAGCTACCTGTCAAGAAATAAGATACCTGTCAATAAATAAGCCAGTCTGGGCAATGGATAATGGGAAATATAATTCAAAATAATTGTAGAATGGATATTAGCCTATTTTAATATGTGCTTTGCTTCCTAGTCGCACTGTTTCCTTCCCTACTAAGTGGAGAATGAAAGAATCCTTTATTTTCCTCCTCAGTAAAGTGGGAATGGGACATCCCAAAGAAATGGGAAACTGAATGGGACATGTACTTGCAAATAAGAACAGGAACAAAGTATTGAATAAAACATCAGTGGAAGAGTTGAGCATGAATCTGAGCAAGAGAAAATGTATGCATGAATGTGAATATGATTATATTTAAATATAAGCCTAATCCCAATCTGTCATCAGCTCCAAACGGGGGCCCTTAAAAGTGACTTCCTGCCTATTCCTATTTTATAGGATTACTGTAAAAATATTGATATGCTATGTGCCAATACTAATATTATTTAAAACTAATTGATTCCAATACTTTTGATATTTCAGAGTTTCTCACACCAAGATGGAGGTAAGTGATTTGCTTTGCTTTTGTACTTGATATCTGTAACTATATATTATTATAAAGGAACATTTTATTTACTACTTTGCTACTTTTTAACACATATATACTAAGCTTCAAAATAATGCTAGCCAAAGAAAGAATATAGAATAAAGCTTTACAAAAACCCTCGATGCCAGCAATAAGCTTTCTTTAGATTTCATGTGCCATAGCTCATGATAAATCCTATTACATATATACCTGACAGCAATAGGGCTTATATGCAAACAAATATAGATTTTATTATGATGTAATTTAATGATAATGATAACCACATATCTATACTAAACACAATTATTTGAAAACAAATCTTAGTGGTTGGACACAAACCAAATCCTGATAGTACAGAAAGAAACCCCCAGCCCCTCCCCCAAATGGCCCTCATAGAGAATGTTGGAATACAATTAAAAAACAAAAAGAAATTTGGACCCATTCAACTGCTTTTTATACTTGTGTGTGTGCATGTGGACATATTTGTTTCCAATAAGACTATTAAATTCATGTAATCTAGTTGAACCATTATCTCACCCTTAAGACATTCTGTCTAAAAATTTTATAACTGATAGAATCTAAATTAATATTAAACATCCCAAGGAATTATGTGTGTAAAAGAAATTACCACACTAAAATGATGCTTCCTTTTTGATAATATTTGATGGAATAGTAGTCATATGTCCTATGGGCTCTTCCTTGTGGCCAAGTTAGAAAATATTTCTGTGTCAAGATCATCAGTCTTGGGAGATTGTCCCTGATATTGTACAACTTCAAGTGCCCAGAAATTTCTTGACTTTCTAGAACACGGGTGTCAAACTCGCCACGTCATGTGACGCTTCGTGACGTATCGTGACTTTTTTTACATTGCCGGTGCTGGGTGGGTGCGGCATCCGTATGATGCAACCGGCCTGTGGGCTGGCAGTTTGACACCCCTGTTCTAGAAGATGAGATGTGGAACTGAATAAGGCTGAAAAGATACCTGATATTATTAGGGATGTTTTAAAGCTGATGCATAATATGGCGAAGTAGAAGTGAAAGATTCATCAAAGTGTGGAAATACTGTTAATCAGAGGTGAAGGTACTACAGCACGTCTGTTGGACAGAAGAGAGAAAGGTTCAAAATTTGAAAGAAAGATTTGACGACTTCCAGAAAGAGGTCTGGAGCTATTTGGCAAACCAGTGTCTGCAAATGGCAAAGAGAAAGAGGAGTGGAGGAAAGAGTAGGGCGAAGGATAACAGAAGAGAGAACAACTCACAAGTCCCTATAAAATTAGCTAAGCTGAAAAGCCAACTGACTTTTCCCCCAAAGCCTGTTGAACTAACTGAACTTTCCTGTGCAAGGTGGGAGAAAATAACTATAAATAAAATAAGAACTTTGGAATCCTTGGTGTTCTTTAAGCTTGGTTGTTTGCTTGCAGCTGTTTCATTACCTGAATAGGTAACATCATCAATACTAGTGAATGTCGGGTTTGCGAACAACCAAGCTCAGAGAGCATCAAGGACTGCACAGTTCAACCCTGAGCTACATGTAATCTCTTCTTTTGGAATAAGCATTTGTTAATAGAGGGGGGTTAACAAAGTAAGAAGAATGTACAAATGAGTAACGAAAGAAACACAATATTTAAGAAAAATAGAAACTGAAAGTACCAGAACAGCAATTTAGGAAAGAAAATGGATTTTTTTTGGTAATATAAATTCACTGTTAATAATAATTCACACAATATTGAACAACTTAAGCAATAACCCTTAGATTGTAATAATTTATTAATAAATGTTTGACCTACAAGTTGATTTGTATGGACTGCCTGGTTTGTTGCCCTCCCTAAAACATTCAAACCCAGGACTGTCCTGTCCACCAATCCGTGAGGTAGCAAAAGGCTAGGTTATTATAAATGGGACTGCCCCTTCTTGCCAATATTTATTGTGTCCCAGTAACAAAATAGTCAAATGGTGCTGTATGTATTTTCTCATAATGAGCCAAATTACAGAAAGGAATCGGTAGATTTCTCAAACCTTGTTTCCTCTTCTGCTAAGCATTTTCTGCCAGCATGAATACAACTAACAATCACTGACTAATACGGCAAGTGGGTAGGTGAGTGGGGAGCAGATTTAGCAGACACTTAAAATGGGGAAGTTAGCCACCTATCAAGAGTTGCCCACTCAACAGGTAGCAGGCGTAACAATGGTCCTAGAGTAAAATTGAGGAAGGTCTCCTGATGTTCCTCATAACCCTCAGTTAGTCTGTTTTTGAACATGGGTATAACACTGTGTTGAAATATAGCTAAACCATTTTACAGAAATAGACATACAAGATAGGAGGTACAGAGAAAGAGGTACAGCACAAGGTAAAATGGGAGGTAGCTTTCTCAGTATTCTGTTCAGCCCAATCTCTCCTTGCTTCTATTTTCTGTTAATTGACCTACTTTTGAACATGGATATGGCACTCGGAGTTCTATCCCCTGTTGAAAAAATAAATAGTTTTATAACTTGTGAGCCACCCAGAATCTCCTTCTAGGGGAGATGGGTGGCACAAAAATGTAATAAATAAATAGCAAATGTGAAGGATGGGCAAAGTGGAAGCTTTCCTGATAATCCGATCCTAGGCAGTTCTCCCTGACTAATGAGCAAGTGACAAAAAAGTCCATTTCTTAGGATCTGGTAGTAAACAGAAAATAGCCATGAAAAACAAGCTTGGTAGAGCTGAGTTTGGAATTGGACAATTGTGCTGGCCCAGATGATATTGATAGTGATAATGGTATCTATGGTGCATTGCAGAAACAATTGTGAAAACTTCATCTGTGTAAGAGTAGCCAAGACAACATTGCTTTGTCAGACCAACAGTTGTTGCACTCTTGTGTGAGTCCTCAGAATATAAATTAAAAAGAAAACCAGTATACTTGCTGGAAAAAGCAGAAGAAAGCAGAAGAAAATGTGTAATGTATCCAAGGGTGCCAGATCTCGGCTAATTTAACTGAGCTCCCAATCAATCCCAAACTAGTATTCTTTACAAAGCGCTCAAAAGATGTGTGGACTGCTTTGAAAAGTGTTGAACAGTATTATGTGGGCAGATAGCTCTATGAAAGCAATGTGCATGATCTCTTGAAGTCCAATCAAAACAATCCTAGAGGACAGTTTCCACAATCAGAGGGGAGAAGGTATATAGGAGCTGTGCAGATCTCAGACTCTTGACTGTATCAGTGAAACATGCCAGATCACATTCAGGGCAAAAATTATGTTGCACTAAGAGGGAAAATACATTAAAATCAGAACTAATAGAGGATGCAGACTCTTGAGGACATGGCATAGAAAGAAGTTGCCAGGACATGTTCGTTAGGGACAGGCCTACCTAGTTGTTGGCTGTAAAACACATTGACTTAGCAGTCTCTGAAAGCCCACTTATGAGGGAGTGGCTTCCGAAACTTCTGTGGAGTTCCACCCTGATAGCAGAGTCATCTGGGTCCAGGTTCCACCTAGATAGTTTCCACCAAGCAATCCAAATTTTGATCACATGACCGTGGGGATGCTGCAACTGTGAAAATGTCCATAAGTCACTTTTTTCAGTACCATTGTAAATTTAAACAATCACTAAACAAGCTGTTGTAAGTTGAGGACTTAGCTGTACATTGCTTTAAGAAAGAAAATTAATAACACTGTAAATAGGCATGACGGGCAAGGCTCCTCGTCTAGAACTTCAGCACATTATCTCTTTTGCCTGCCTGTTATTAATAAATTGTTTGTTCTGTAACTAGCTCCTTTAAGGCAATCTAAAAATAATACCACAAATTAAAAATTCACATAAGACTTTCATCCAGACACCCCAGCATTTTTACCAGGATGCTTATCTGCTACACCAGAGTAAAGTCAGCATCTCTCTGTTACAGTCATTTACATAGATTACATTCAGTTATGCCCTGCAGCAACCTTGCAAAGTGAAAGTAGGAAAGAGCCTCATTTGTGTGAAACCAGGAGCAATAAAGTGAGAGCTAGTCTAAACTGGAGATATAGCCAGCAAAAGGCCATGGAGTCTTATGATCAAGTTAATCATCTCCACCTGTGCTATCGATGGCATGTCTGTCCAGATTATGGAAATTGTTGTTTTAACCATTCAGTTATGTCCAGCTCTTGATGACTTTATATACTTTTCTTGTGCTTTATACTTTTTTGGATACGTAATCCTTTAATAAATTTGTCTGGAGTGTATTTGTTATAATCAGTTTAAATTTCCCTCTTCTAAATATAGTTGGTGGCATAGCGTTTAATTTTTCTCCTTTAAAATTCAATTCCATCAGAAAAAAATGAAGACCTTTTAAGTGGCTATACAAACATCTTATCTATATATTGGGATGAATTGAATTGTATATGGTATTTGGAATGTATATGGTGACAGTTCAGAATCTAAAAGTCAGTGAAGGAAAAAAAGGAATACAACCATTTTGGTATAGCCATTATTTAAAGGGAATTACTCAACTATGTATGCTGCAGATAAAGAACCATGGATTCCTTGGTCAAATGGGAAGAGTCCCTTTTTTTTTAACGGCATCCCCACTATCACTTTCTTTAAAATAACATGGAGCTGCTATCAAGCTTAGTGCCATTATGAGCAAAATTGTAAAGGACTAACTCTCCTCCCCCATAGCCCCCTCACCCCCATATGGCTGTGGGTTTATATGAACAACAAAAGAAAAATCAAGAGTTTTTCACCAACCCTATTTTTGCAGGGCCACTTGAGGGTTTATCTGTATCAGCAGCAGAAATAGAAAACTAATCTTCTGTTGACCTTTTCTTCCCTATTCAAATGACATGGTTAACTAAACCCTTCAGTTTAAGGTTGAAATTGTTATTGACTAGTTTGTATGTGCACCTGACATACTAATCCCACCCATGGCCCAGTAATAAGAGTTGAGCTGAGTTGATGGGGCTAGTTTAGATTATCTTTGCTGGCTTACTAACCCCATCTCCGAACCCAGTTCAAAATGCTTAGCCTCAAATATAAACACCTTTAATCTCCCTACTGCCATAGGATACTGCCTAACCATTAAGAGCAGCCTCAAAAATCCTGCTCTGCATTAGCAGTATATGAAGTTAGGAAAATGACAACTTTCATCTTTTCTATAGTCCCGTTCTGTCTTTGAAACTGATTGCCCATAAAGCAGAAGCAAGAAAATTCTGACAAACCAGGTAGATTCAACCCCTGCACAGACTTCTTGCTTAGCTCATTATTCTGACGCAAACATGAAAAGATGAACCAAAATTTTCTAGGTGCAAACATCTGTTTGCCTCTAAACACAACATTCAACCACAGTTACCTTAACCTGCAAATGTTACCAACAGCCTCTGTTCAAGAATGTTCAAATTACATTATTTATTATATTGATCTATAATGTTACTCAACAAGCATTTAACCTGTACAGATAGTTCATATCTCTATTAACCTACACATTGAATATAAGAAATAAACATTAGCTTTTGTGCCCCTGGAAAGGATAAGAACCCTCATTGTAGCAATAAAAGCATTTGCCTGAGATGGGCACCTTACTGTTTTTCCATGTTTTACAAGGCAAGTTACTGTTTGATCTATTTCCTTTTTAGAGGTCATTGACCTGCTGACATGTGGAACCTCCTGACATGATTTCACACTCATATCACTAAAAAAAAAAGTCTTAGTCATCAGCTCTTTCTCTCTCCAGCCTCAACTAGACTATTGAATGGCAGTCAAAGCACACTGATTCTGCATTTTGCTGCTTTAATTCAGTTATCTGGCACAAAGCTTCCGATGTCTATTGTTTGGGATAATAAGTAGGGACACTGCTGCCTAAGCAATGAAGCCTCTGGGGTCTCATTTAACTATATTTCCCATTCTTTGATAACTAGATGCAGTAAATTACATTTACTCCCAGATCCCTGAACTCACAACTCTCTATTCACAAGCAACAGAGGCTGTTCCCCGGAAAGACAGAACAAGCAGGGTAACTGGTAAGTCTCAATAGAATTTGGTTTATTCTTTCAGCAAGCCTGATCTTTTAAAAAGGAAAAGAAAAAAAAAACATGTTGGGTTATCTGGGACTAACAACCAACTGTACTTGATACAATAGGGAAATAGCAGCTAGCTAATGACTTGGTAGACACCACACCTAAACTTAGAGACTTGTTGCATTTGTTTAAAATGAAAATGAAATCCCGTGGGTTGAATGAGCTACTATATAACAGAATTGTTTTGACTGGCTTTGAACAGTTATTAATAGGCAGTCAATAGAAAACCTAATATTTCAAGACAAAAGTAGTAGGAAAATTTATGTCCATAAATAAAGTTTTTGTCAAAAATTAATCCTAACTGTAAAACTGTGGACATTCTAGAGCAAAATAAATGCTTAATCATGTTAATTGTTGCCTAATTTACCATTGATTTCAATTTTATTCCCCACTCATTCACTCAGAATTAAATTTAAGTTCAGTGGCACTTATTCCCATATAACAATCTACATTTCATTGGTTTCAATTAATTTTAATGATCTGCTTGTAAAAAGCAGCATTTGCATTAAATATTTCTCCCTCTTATAAACACTTGGGGGGGGGACATTCTTTAAGTTCGAAGAAGCCATTTGAAATTGTTATTTCTGCCATTCTCCATTTAGCGACCCCACAAGCTGTTATTTAATTCTTTTCCCCTTGGAAATATGTTTGAGATAATGGACCCAAATATATTTGTCTTAAGAGGGATTGAATATTCAAAAGTGTTGAAAATTAAAAGCGAACCAACATCTCTACTAAGAGGTGGAAATGAGGAAGGATCCCATTCTTATGAAGCCTAAGTAGAATATTATTTAGTTACATAAGCTAATAAACACCATTGTGGGTTGACATCTATGCAAGCATCCAAAGGTTTCCTGAATCATACAATACTTGAATGAGCCCAGATTCACAGAGATTGTGGTTTTCAAATGTACCTGTCATTTAGCAAGTTACAAATGAATATATGACTGAACATTTTTCCAATATGAGAACCACAGTGTTTACAAATGTATACAGTAACTGTTCAGTCTCCAAAACAATACCACGCCCTTATTGGGATTTCATTATATACATTTATTTTTAGAAAGTTTCTTGTAATTACTCCTCAGATAACAAAATTTGGACAAAAAGACACTATTGCTTCTATGAGACCTCCTTCAATGAACATCTAAACTGTGTGCTTGTGCAATGAATTGTTGTGTTTCTTTTCTGCCTGTATATTGTGCCTGGATCCCATCTTTTTGTTTGTTTGTTTGTTTGTTACAGTTTTTTATATATTATTTTAGTACTACCCACAGTCAGTTGGAATCAGACAGTGCCCAAATTTACATAAATAAATATATGTTATCCCATTAAGTCAAGAGGCTAGTATCGAAACTACTATTTACTCCCTTCATTCCCAATATTAAAAATATAATAGTAACATAGATATTAACATTAATCTTCTCTTTTATGCCACTCAGAAATTCTAGTGCTAAAGATGGCCTTATTCTCCTTCACATAGCTCAAGAGGAGAGCCAAATATTCAGATAAAAAGGCAATCAGGAACAGCTTACTGCTTACTTTACCCCACAGGAATATTTGATAATGTACTACCATTCCAAAAATTATACAAAGGAAAATATGACTGCTGACATTATCCCCAAATCTCAGATATAGATGTGCCCAGCAAACATAAGATAGATGAGATCTCTATATAAAACTGCTACTATTGAAGGATCCTTTGTGATCTCTGAGCTTGGTGGTTTTCCTGAAGACATTTCATTACCCAAATTAGGTAACATCATCAATACCATCTACAAGAAAATCACCAAGCTCAGAGAGCACCAAAGACCCCTCATTTCAGCCCTGAGCTACATATATTCTCCTTTATTGCTACTGCTACTATATTCTTTGTGTTTGCTTTAGCTTAAAAAAACCCTGCAAACCTATAGGCCCTTATTAGAGTTTTTCTCTATGAATATATGCTTATTTATTTGGCTAAATATAGTTCATCTGTAAATGAATGAGTGAGTGAAAAATCTTCATATTGTTTACCCTTGTGATATGTAGATGACAGGCCTAAGAATATATAGTGTGAATTAAGCCCTATTGAACTTGGTGTCCTGAGTTGAACATACATGCTGCAATAGGATAACAACATTAGTATCTGGAATATGATCGTTGTATATAAAATACGTAAATATTGAAAATAAATGAAAATTCAGATGGTCAAGTGACTCAGAGTACATTATATCAACAAAATCCACAAAATAGAGCTCTGCTCCCCACAATACAAAGGCTATTTTTTTATATAATCAATTGTTGAAAACAAACAACAGTGGACATCTGGCTTTGTCATTAGATATGTTTAATGCTGATTGGCAAATACACAGGTTGTATCCACCAAGGCATCTGGAAGTACAAAGTTATATACATCGGCATTAGAATTTTTGTGTGATATAGCAAAACAATTTACAGAGACTGGCAAACCACTTCCTATATAGTTCAGGAAAGCGACAAAGTAAAGCATCAGTAGATTATTTGGGAGTGAGGAGGGTTGACATCTATAACATCTCTATAAACCTCCTTCCAGTTGCTTCTGTTATCTTTATCAAGGTCTACATTTTTTTCTATCACATGGAGTCTTCCTTAACCATTAACACAAGTATTTTCTGATTTAGAGTGGAGTTGAAAATTTGAGACCAATTAATAGCTTTTTAAAAGACAGTAGTTTGAGGGATTACCAGCAGTCAGTTTGGTATTCCTGCATTACATGGAAAATGTTGTATTGATTAAAAGCTTGCACAAAAGCTTGCCATTATTTGATGCATATGGTAATGAGAAGTAACTTGCACGTGTGAATGACCCATCATAAATGCAGGTAGTCCTCGACTTACAACCACAATTGAGCCCAAAATTTATGGATACTAAATGAAACACTTGCTAAGTGAATTTTTTCCCATTTTTATGACCTTTCTCGCAACAGTTGTTAAGTGATTCATTGCAGTTGTAAAATTAGTAGCACAGTTGTTAAGTGAATTTGGCTTGTGCATTGACTTTGCTTGTCAGAAGGTCGCAAAAAGTGATCACATGATCCTCATAAATATGAGTCAGTTGCCATGAATTTTGATCATGTAACCAGGGGGATGCTGCAGTGTCTATACAGTAAGTGTGAAAAATGGTCCTAAGTCACTTTTTTTCACTGCCGGTGTAACTTCAAACAGTCACAAAATGAACTGTTGTAAGTTGAGGACTATCTGTATATCATCACAGAGAATGATCACAAAATACAGTACTTTCAAAGAGTCTATAAAGGCTTTTTTTCTAGTTACTACATGTATTATGATCGCATGTACTATATAGTGCAGAACTATATATAGTCATTCAGTGAAAAATTAAGTGGCATGTGCATCTATGAAGCAGACCACACTCAGATAAGAAAGTGGAAAATTATGGCCTATATATTGATTGATAGTTCTAAAAGGCTTAATTAAAACTCTACTATTCCTGGATTTTTCATTTCTACTTTTTCTGTTTCCTTTAAGCATTCATGGTGCTTTTAAAGCTAGGTGAATTGGAGTAAATATGATTTTTAAAAATTTAGATGATAAAGAAGTCCCCTCCCTTTTGTGCAGGCATGGAGCAGGAAAAGTAATTGAACCTTAAGTGGAATTATTTCTAAGAGGAACAATAGAAGCCCCAGGGACAGGATATAGGTACTCTACTCAGTTTTGTTAAGTTGCACAAAAAATAAACAATTTAAGAAGGTTTGCGTTATTTTCTATATTTGCATCTCTCTCTCCCTCTTCCTCTCTCCCTCCCTCTCTCTCCCTCCCCCCCCCCTCTCTCCTGGTGATGGGATAAGAACCTATAAACCACATTGAATCTTCACTACTACAAATTTCACTTGTATTGCTCTTCTTGCTTCTGAGATGGTGCTGGGTATAATAAGCATATCTTTGCTACCAAGAAGACTAAACAATTTTAAGCATATCTTTGCTACCAAGAAGACTAAACAATTGCTTTGTTAATTACAGCCCTGTTTCTTAGAAAACTGACTTTTTTGTCCCCATACCACATTCTGTGGCATTTCTGTAGACCTGCAGAATCAGGGCATATGCTCAAGTTTAATAATGGTGCATACATCAGGGTATTTATATTTCCTGTCACTTCCTCTTGGTGATGCTATATGTTGTGGATGAAACACATAGCTTCTAAGTTGTGCAGAAACTCCCCATGAAGTAGAATTTCAAGTTATTTACTGTGTTTCACTTCTGAAGGAAATATTAGGCCCTTATAAAAGGAACTCTCCAGGTTGTTAAATATCCTCATGTAAATTTTAGCGCTATGTGTTCTGTATTTCCCTAATGTAGGCAATCAGAATTTGGATGATGACCATATTTACTATGTGAATTAATTCAGTAACATAGACATTATTGTAGACCTCCTTATTGGTCACCTCCCTAGTACAGAAAATGCTAGAAAGTTATCCATTCACTATAACAGATCTGGCTAGTACTAGTTGCATCAACCTTTGTTAAGATAACAACTGCTTGACTTCACAATTTGCATCTCTAACATAGGCTGCTTGGCATTTTAGATCACAGCTTCTTTGGGTGTATAGTTGTCTGCTTGTCTGTTTGGCAATTAACCATTCACATGCTTCTTGCTGTTGTAACAAACACTTCCTCTCTTGTTTCCATTCAAGCTTTGTACAGCATGGAAATTAATGTGGAGAAAGACAAACAAACTGGGGAGACCAAGATTCTCTCTACGTCCCCCATTGGCCCCGAGGCAGCCTGTCAGAGAGGAATCAAAGTCTATGATGATGGTACCAAAGTAGTCTATGAGATGCATTCTGGAGGCACGGTGGTAGAAAACGGAGTACATAAGTTAAGCTCAAAGGATGTAGATGAACTTATTCAGAAAGCAGGGCAATCAAGCATAAAAGGAGGGGCTATATCAATAGTGGATGGAAACCTCAGCCACATGAAGGAACAAATTCTTTTTAAGGAAGCAAAACTAGAGATGGTGCACAAATCCAGCAAAAGACTCTCTGGGAACCCTCCACACCAAGCAAAACTTTCTGGGGATGAAATCCCAGAAGCCAGTTCAGATCACCCAGTAACAATGATATTTATGGGTTACCAAAATATTGATGATGAAGACGAGACCAAAAAGGTATTGGGTTATGATGAGACAATCAAGGCTGAACTGGTCCTTATCGACGAAGATGATGAAAAATCATTACGTGAGAAGACAGTGACTGATGTGTCGACCATGGATGGAAATGCTGCTGAGTTAGTTTCTGGGAGGCCCTTGTCAGACACCACAGAACCTTCTTCACCAGAGGGAAAAGAAGAAAGTTTACCAATGGAGAAAGTCCCAGGTACAGAAAAGAAACAGCGCTGTCAGTGCTGTATTGTCATGTGACCATCTCTTCCTTCCTTTCTTCTTCTTCTTCCGAGCAGCTCGTGCTCCATCACTCCCTTTAGACCTCACTGTATTTTTCTAACTGCAGTACTGTGAACTGGAAGTGACTGCCTCCATTGCCTTGCAGTTGGTTTGCTCTGATTTTTTTCTAACTTGTCAAGGGAGATGAGTAACGAAAGTACAGATTCTCACCAAATGCACTCTTTTAGGATTATTTTTAGAGGGTGAGACAAAAAAAAAACAAAAAACACCAGTGAACAAAGTGCTGTTCTATTTGAAAAGATATCTATATATCAATATAAATATATAATATATGAATATGCATAGTTGAATAGGTGTAATATGCATATTTATGTATTGCGTATATTTATTAGACTTACAAACGTATATGAAGAATTTTACTTTATATATCTAGCAGGTATGATCAACCTCCCAAGGTTTTACAGGATTCCTAAGTTTCACACATATGTGAGCCTTAAACTGCATTTTAATGTTGTACGTTTTTTAAGAAACAGTTTTTATTTTTTACTGGGGTAAGGGAAGGACATTAGATCATGTAGTTTGAGATCCTAATATTTGAATTTCACTTCCCCAAAGAAAGACTTTGTTCTAAATTGGGAAGCTTTATAGTAAGACCTGTTCCCACATAAGCCCCAATAAAACAGTTGAGTCTCGTGGACAATGCACAATGGGATCAACCCAACAAGCATCATGTCAATTGCAACCTTTGTTTATGAGGGGCTTTTCTATAAGTCATTGAAAGGAATGAATTTTGCACAGTCTCAGTGCTTAGCTTTCCATGGGATTATATTGTTGGCTTCAGTGAGGCTTGTATGCATGCAAACGTGGATCTGAATTCAGTTGCGACATATTTTGCAACACTGAAAATACCACACTGATTTCACTACTGACTGGTATCACTAAAAAAAATAATTGAATAGTTGCCTAGGAAACTTGGAGTGATGATTTAGGGTTTTGTTATCATTGTTTTACTTTGGTCTTATTTAAATTTTCTAGTTTTCAGTATTGTGCATATGTCCCATTTTCCTACATTCAAGCTAAAACGAGTATGCCATGAAAATGGGTCCAGAATTGCCAGGATTAAATTATCGTCACTGATTTTACTTGTTTGCCTTTCAGTAACAGTGCCTACTTATGTATATATATATATATGATCTACTTGTCGGAACTGTGCTATTGTAAAAGATGATTTTGTGGTTTATATAAAATATGTACCCATAATAATTGTCTTATTTCCCAAAAAGAAAACAGAAAAGAGTCACTTTTTCTTAAGAATAGAAGGCCCCAGTTCTCAAAGTCTCTTCAGAGGCTGTTACATTTGCCCCCAAGAGAACAGAAAATCAAAGTAGAAAAGCTAGCATTTTTATGCTAGGCAAGCACCATGTGAAGTACTGTATCATCATCTTTCAGTGTCTCCTTCAAATAAAGTAAAAAGGCCCAGTGGGAATCTTAGCTTCATATTAGCATCACCAGAATCACTTTCTATGTCCTTCTGCTCGAATGTTTGGTTACTAAGGGCTCATCCAATGTGCTGTCGTCCCATTCTTGACAATATAAAAAGGACAGCACTCACAACATAAATCGTACCACACATTGGCAATTAAGCCAGTAGTATTGCTGGCTGCCCTCTGAGAAAATAATTACTTTTAGATTAGTGATCTTCTCTTCAGAGGCTGGGGGGGGGAGAAAAACAACAGTTCTTTTAATACCCATTCTGAGGAGGATAAAGAAAGAGAATTAATTATATTTTTCACTACGTAAAAGTTACTCCCACGACCGGCAAGTTTGAATTGGCAACCCCATCCTATGCCTGCTTTTTATCCTCCATGCCAGCTCTCATCCTCACTTGTTTGTATTGCTCATTGGCACCTCATTCCCCCATTTGAGAATTGCCTCTTTTGAGGTGGCAAAACAAGCTTCAATAGTTTTGATACTGAGTGCGTTCATACTTAAGTTTTTATCCAAAGGACACTGGTAATAACACAGGAGCAGGGAAGTTGCCTTTGGCTTCTGCCACCAGGTTTGTCCTCTAACCCAGGGGTCTACAACCTTGACAACTTTAAGACTTGTGGACTTCATAGCTGGCTGAGGAATTCTGGGAGCGGAAGTCCACAAGTCTTAAAGTTGTCAAGGTTGCAGACCCCTGCTCTAACCTTTGCACAGGAGTCTGTCAAAACCAAGACAGTGACAACTCATGGGATAAATTACAGGTCTGCATCTTAAATTTAGATTGCACTTGCAGGGGAAGGATGCAGTATAACTCTTTTCACGAAACCTCTGCAAATAAAAATGCATTGGGCAAGGCGTTGCTGGTGCAAACGGGGAAAAGCGGAGTAGTCCACCCTCACGCACAACAAAACAACAATCCCTCTGTGGTGAATCTTTGATTTTAAAACAAAGCCTTCAAAATCCACTGCCTACAATTATTGCTGTCGAAAAGCCAGCACAGTATCTCATAGACAGAGACAAAACCTGATGGTACTTCCTAAGCAACTTCGCTTCTGTTTTGCAATAGCGATATTTATTTCCTCAAAGACCTGCATTCAGTTTAACCTGCCGTTAATATTCCCATGTCCAAGCCCACCCCCAAAAAGAGAAAAATATTTGCCACGATATGTGCCATAGGCATGGTCTCTCTGGCAACCACAACAAAAAAGAGGCCAAACAGCTAGCCACTCCAATGGGAGAAAAGAGCCTTTTGATCTCCAGCATTTGCCAGACTTCAAAGGCTGCTCCTCCATGTTCAACTGAATGTGTACATGGGAATTCTAAGACTAAGTTAGCAGAGAAAATATTTCCTTCAGACACCTTAGATCAGCTTCATCCAGACTCAGTAATGGGCTCATCCACAAAATGGGGGATTTATTGTGAGGATATGTCCTCAGCAAATGGTTAGTGGGGTGTCTTTGCCTTCAGGACATGTAGATGAGTTCTGAGTGTTAGGAGCAGGAAATTATGATGGATCACAAGAAGTACAAGTTTCTCGCAAAATTGTTTACTTAAAAGTTCATCAAATCAGTTTTCATGTTCACCTTGTAGAAAGCTTCTGCACATCATAAGTACCCATATCATTTAAACATGGCTTCTTTACTTGCTTTGTCTCATTACGCCTACTGAAACTTTGGGATATTTTTATCCAGGATTGTCCCTGAGAAGAAATGAAAAACACAGTTTCGGGAGTACACATGTAATTCCCTTTTACCTTCTCAATGTCAGCTGAGCCATTATTTGACTATGAAGTATCTTCTGACCATGAGTGAAAGTATCTCAAAGCTAAGATTAAAGAATCTCTAGTCATTATTGGCTCCAGTTTTCATCAACCCCATCGGCATCTCCCATCAGCTCAAGTTTGGGATTGAATGGATATAGCCACAGGTGTCCTATTCCTGCTCTTAAATGCTACAAGCCGCATGCCAGGTTCTTCACATTTCATCAAGATCACTATATGGCAGGGGTCTTCAAACTTGGCCCTTTTATGACTTGTGGACTTCAATTCCCAGAATTCCTCAGCCAGCATGTCTGGCTGAGGAATTCTGGGAGTTGAAGTCCACAAGTCATAAAACGGCCAAGTTTGAAGACCCCTGCCATATGGTCATTCATAGTAAAATCAGCAGGAGAGTGAGGCATGTTGCTGCTCTCTTTTGGGGAAGATTTGAGTAGGCTCATCGTCTCAAACAAGTATATCAGTAAAATTATTGTAAACGTGCCAATGTATTTTTTTCCCCAGTCTATACTTTTCTAGATCTCTCATTTGAAACTTTCTGAGATGCTTACCCTAATTTTTAATATTTAGCTGGTATGATCCACCTCCAAAATTTTGTGGGATTCCATTGGCATCTGCAGTGAAAATTTTGGACTGCTACAGGTTATAGGGGGCTCATTGGGTGTATTTTTTCTAAAGTGTCAAACACAAAGAGGCATAGGCTGATAGAAAATAATAATTCCTTGGTAACAGGAAGTCTACCAATACAGTAATATGAGTCCCACTGGTATTTCTTCTGACAATTAGCTATATCCATAAAATTTACAATAGATTATAAGTGAAGATTTCAGACAGCATCCAAATCATTTCAACTAAGGAAGAATTTCATGTATCCTACAGAAACGTACTAAGCCAGCATTAATCTTGCTGGTTAATGGGTTGTCTCCTAATGTGTATCTATTCTCTCTCAGGTTGTGCTTTATTGTATTCACTCTTTTAAGTTTTAAATGTCATGTTGAACAACAATTTTCCTCTGAGTTCTTTTCTTTCTGTGCCATTAAGAAAGATATTCCTGCTTGGTACCTTTTCAAGTGTGGAATACCAACAATCTCCAATGAGATTTCCAAAACCACATCCCAATTTATTTGGAAGTAATGTTGAACTTGAGTTCAGTTGAACATACTTCTTAACAAGTATGTCAGAATCATAGACTTAAAATACAGATTAGTCCACCGGAAGACAAATTCTCATTAAAATTTTTTCCATTAAAAAACTCTTTTAAAGCCACTAAATGTGGTCCTTGTTTAGCGACCAACAACTTAGCTGTGACCAGCAACTTAGTCATTAAATGAAGCTGTCACTATGTGAAACTGCAAATCTGCTTATGATCTTATTTCAGTTTTTTGTTTGCTTTACAGACCTGCAAACTAAACTAAATGGAGCAGTTGCTAAATAAGGGCCACCTGTACTCTAGACACAAATCATAAAAAAAAAAAACCAAATCAGACAAACTAATAAAAATAAACTTAAAGTTGCACAATTAGTAGTAATGTAATACTACACATTTCTACAGATAAATTAGGAAAATTAGAAAGAGCAGTAGCATTACTTTTCCACAGATAAACAGGCGCAGACCAATTAATATTTCTTTACAGAGCCCTATATTTGACAATACATTAATAATGGTTATATTTCATTATTTATTTTTCTTTTAAATGTGGTATGGTTCATTTGATTGGCAATCTCAATTTTTGCAATATTACCATATTTAATCTTCCTTAGTGCAGTATCCTTCACCTAATCTTTCAAGTCATTCAGTAAACATTTAGTGAAAATTTGTAAAAAGTGATAATCATCTATAACTCCTGTTAACATTTTTGCTGGGTAATATAGAGCAGAGCAAAGGTTAAAGGTTAGAAGTAGAGCACAAATATAGCACTTTTTCTGAGAGAGCAGAACACTTTTGATTTTCTATTATCTTTAGAAAATAGTCAGCATTCTACATATTCATACATGCCATGAAATTTAAAGTAAAATTCACATGTAATCTAAAATCTTATTGCTGAATGCTTATTTCCTCTCAAATACAACAAACTGTTGAATAGAATAGTACTGATTCTAATGCAGTTAAGCAAATATATATTTCACTGATATCAACAAATAAGTCTTGAGCAATGTAAATACATCCCTGATTAATTTTCTTTCAAAGATTTTTAGGACAACCCCTTGATTTTTTTTTTTTCTAATTGACTTGGCTTCCAAGTTAAGTTAGCTGGACTTGAATCTGGGATCATCAGGAAAAAAATACACATGCCTTCAGTCCTAATGATTTCAACAGGAACGAACATTATAATGTTCATTATGCCTAATGAAACCTACAGTCCAGAACAATTAAAATATAAAACATTACACAGAGGTGAATAGATAGGCTATAATTCAAACTTCTAGAAGGATCCAGTCATCTTTATACACCTGGAGCCCTGAATATGTGTCAGTTCTGAAACCCTGAGATTTCCAGCTATAGTCCCAATACGTTTGGAAGATGTCAAGATGGAAAAGGGGCTCATCTGATCTGAGAGGCTGGCATTAAAATTTAGAGTCAATAATGTTTTGAAAATATATTTGGAGGCCGTCTTCACCTAAATATGACTAAAGCAAACCAAATGGAACTATAAACAATCAGATCAAACTATATATATTTAGAAGAAATCATCTATATACCAACCTTGTTTGCACATTATCTACTATTCTTTGTTTCCAGGAATAAAATAATTCTGGAAAACTACAAGTATGTAAAGCAATTCAGCGAGAGTCTTCATGCTGAATTTTCTTAGACTTGGCACATTCTAGATTAGATGTGTATCATTTTAATAATGTTGCACAGCTCTACCAATTTCCTCTAAATAAATATGGGAATTGTAGGCACGTGTCCACCACTCCATTCAAGAACTCTAGTTTTAAGTTGCAGGTCTGTCTCTGGACAACTCAATACATCCTTTCAGAAACATTTTATATGTTTTTTAATTTTTTCCAGGTTTGTATCTTTGCAATTCCAGCACAGAGAAATATTTTAAACAATAAATATAAACAGGCGAGGTCTAGATTCATGACAGTTTGGCACAATGACTATTTAGCCTTAAGTTTTGTAATTATAAAAAAATGCAAAGGAAAAAAAAATCTTTTTAGAGTGTTTTCCTAAGACACGAGTAATCCATACATTTTTTTAATCTTTTGTATCTTCAATCTTTTTTGCAAATTGACCTTAGTTTTCATGAAGACTCTTTTTCTTGGTAACACCATGACATCTTTTTTTGAATATAAAAAACATAAAATGCCACCAATAGATGGGCCAAGTTATTTGCTTTCAAGTCAAGAAAAAAGAAACCGGAAAGAAAAGAATCACTGGGCTGTTTTTCATTTAGTTGTCTCTGGCTGATGTGTTGTATTGTAAACGTTTACACAATTCCTTCATTTTGCCTTTGTGACACTTGCTAACGAATCACAAAACTAGATACGATGTGCCATTGGACAGATTGCCTTAGCTTTCCCTTTATTTTAATGTTATTTCTTTCCCTAAATTTCCACCTTCCCCCTTACCAAAATGCAGGCAGCATTCCAAGCTGTGTAAGCACAACATTCTCTCCCTCCCTCCCTCCCTCCCTCCCCCCCTCTCTCTCTCTCTCTCTCCCTCCCTCCCTCCCTCCCTCCCTCCCCCTCTCTCTTTTGATCCATAAAGGCAGCAGTCTTTCTCAGAAACAGAAAGGAAATGACATGTTATAGTAACTAGGAGTCTTGGTCCAGAATATGTAAAAAAGAGAAGTGTTGTATTACACACAAGACATTTATTGGAGATGTTATTGCATGATCATGTTCTGTCTTGCACTGAATAGAGGTATTCATGTTACTGACAGCTGATATTCTATATGAAAGGAAGAGAATGTTTATCACCCTTGAGACTGAATGTAAAAGTGTGATAATAGATCTCTTCTTGCTAGGATATATTGCTCCAGTTCGACATTGAAAATTTACCCTCATAGCAAGGTTGATAGATTATTAGATGTGTATACTAAATAAAACAGCTAGGACAGTGGTTCTCAGCCTGTGGGTTGGGACCCCATTTGGGGTCGAATGACCATTTCATGGGGATCGCCAAACAAGGCTGTCCACCATTTTCCCCCCCTTTCCTTTGGCCACGCCCCTGGCACCCGGTGATGTATAAGTGGTTGGGGGTCACCACAACATGGGGAACTGTATTATGGGGTCGCGGCATTAGAAAGGTTGAGAACCACTGAGCTAGGAGATGGTATAATTTAACAAACAGTAAGAGATTAAAACAAATATCTCCACACACATTGAAGAGCATGAGGACAGCGTTGTAAGGTTATTTAAGGATGAGATACTACAAAACTGGTTTAAAAACTGGTTTTGTGGCTCTGGCTATTCAGCCTGATAACTTGGGCTATGTGCACCTTCAGCAATTATACAGCATTAACATAAATCTGCAAATTGGTTTTATATTTCTACATTGTTGTACAATCCTCTCAAAATAGATTCTATTCAATTCACACCTGAAGTAATTCCACGATGTTCCCTTCCCAGTGTACTTTGTTTCTGGTCTTGAATCCTGAGTGGAGGAAAACAAACTATCAGTCAGGAGCAGTTGTAAGGGAAAGATTCACAAGCCTCAGCTATCCAGTGTTGTTGCCTAAGAATGTATATGAAAAGTTTACACGGGTGAAAATCAAAACACGATCAGCCCTAAATTAGCCTCAAGCACTGTTTTCCACAAATACGATTTTTCTTAGAGACAGCAGTGGGAAGTAACAGATCTTGTCACCTATCTAAAATCTTGATTCACGACTCTGTTAAGACATTCTCTCTTCAGAGAATTACCCCTGTAGAGATTATTTAATAAATCACAGGATGGCACCATATCTTCTGGCTTTTTTTTCTTCCCTGAGCATTGCAGGTTTTTTGCATGTGCTCTTCTTTGCAGGTAGAAATCCCATATGATCACAAGTTTCAGCCTACCCAGTAACAGATCCTCGATGTCAACACTCACCATGTGGATATTAGATTGTGCCACAGGAAGAGAGTTAGATGCTGCTTCCCAGCTCTGTCCTATGCATTGTACTTTTAGTTTTAGAGTACATGCTTGACAACAATTAGACTATTTGAATTTGAGACTGTAACTTAAATTGGAGCTCCCCAAGCCCCTGGCTGCGGCCTGTTTGAAACTGGGCTGCAGGCAAGTGCAGCTCCACTTGAGTGAGCAGCGGGCAAGTGTTCATGCCCAGCTCCATTTGCACAGGCGCACATACCCACCGCTTATGCAAATGAAACTGCATGCACACACTCACCTATCACACTCATGCAGAACCATCCCCTCTCCCCATCAGTAGGGCACAACAGAAAGGTCTCTCAACTTTGCTGTTAAAAACCTAATCATAATCCCTACTTAAAAGGTGAACATTTAAAAGTGTAGTGTATGCATTAGCCCCTAAGTGGTTTTTATACAGCTCCAGAGTCACAAGAAATGTGTACATGCATATATCAGATGCATATATCCAGTTCAAAGTGGAAAGCTACAATGTCAGCAGTCAATACTAAACCTATTTAAATAAATGTAAGCCCCATGCATTCCAAGAAAATGTGTTTAGGATTGTAGCCACTCCGTCCAATTCTCTTTATTCAGAAAGAGTTATTACAGATAATTCTCAGCTTACGACCACAATTGAGTCCAAAATTTCTATTGCTAAGCGAAACAGTTGTTATGTGAGTTTTGCCCCATTTTATGACCTTTCCTGCCGTAGTTGTTAAGTGAATCACTGCAGTTGTTAAGTTAGTAACAGGTTGTTAAGTGAATCTGGCTTTCCCATTGACTTCGCTTGTCAGAAGGCTGCATGACCCTAGGAGACTGCAGTTGTCATAAATATGAACAAGTCTCCAAGCATCCAAATTTTGATCACGTCACTGTGAGGATGCTACAACAATCATAAGTGTGAAAAATGGTCATAAATCACTCTTTTTCAGTGCTGTTGTAACTTTGAATGGTCACTAAACAAAGTGTTTTAAGTCGAGGACTACCTATGATTTTAATGGGTCTGTTTTCAAAACAGTGTACATACTTACATATGTTTTCTCTGGATTTAGTGAGTCCCATTTCTGAGGGCATATGCATAAAATTTCAGCTGATCCTTTATACTTTTACTCAGAAAGAGGTGCCATTAAATGTGAGTGATGTGCAGAAAAAAGCTGTATCTTTTAACCAAGGTGGTGGTAGCAGGTAGTATTATCTATTGGCCCGAGCAAAAAAGAAGCCCCTATAAAAATGGCTACTGCTGTTACTTTTTCTCAACAATGTGCAAAACACCATGTTCAACCCTGAAAGATTTTTCTGTGTGCCGTAAATAATTGAAGGCTTCACAAAGAGAGGCTCAAAAAAAATGTTGTGTAAAATACTGACAAAACGTAGATTGGGCTGAGTTGGGGGAGGTTGTTTTCTTTTTCATACTTACCTTTAGTAGCTCAGTTTCTTGATGAGCAAATGTAAATAAGATTCCCATCTAGAGAAGAGGAAAAAGGGACAAATGTAAACTGTTGTGCTAAACTACTGGATTAGAGTTGCTGAAAATATCTGCTGTCGTCCATTGTAACCTGAAGTGTACTTTTGAGATTGTATATGCTTGAGGGTGGAGGGGGGAGGGATTTTCAGAATAAAAAAAAAAAGACACAGACCAAATAAAATGAAAACAAAACACTGCCAGCAACAGCCAGCCGTAACTGTGGCTATTTTCTGGGGTTCCTCCCCCCCTTTCTCTGTGTATAGTATTAAAAGAAAATAAAGCTGCCTTTTCACTGCATTTGCACCTGTGTCTTTGTCTTCTTTTTTTCCTCTGTAATTCTCACTCTTTCTGGGGCTCTGTAATCTCGGGAAAGTTTTGCATCCACATGATTTTACCCCTTTCACTAAAATATTAAAGTACTAATCCAATGGTCTCTTTCTCTCTCTTTCCCCCACCACCTTTCATTTCTGCTATTTTATATTTCTGTTCATCTGGAATGACTCTCAATGCTCTCACTTTTCATGAAATGCAATTCAGTTGCTGTTGCACCTGAAGGATGACCATACCTCCAAAAAGGGAGAATCTCAGAGCGGTTTCTCACAGAATTTCTTTTTGATCGATACACCTGAGGTTGCTGAACTGTATTCCTAAATAAAACCTGAGAAAGTGGCCATATGTATAAGATAGAAATAACCACTTTGGAAAAACGGTTTTTATTGAAGGATAAAATGGTGGCAGGCTATATTCAGGTAAAAGTGCTTGGAGACCACTACATCTGGCAAGCTACATTGCTTTCAGGATTAATTTAGCACAACCTGCAGCAGGACTGACAGAGCAGGAGGCTCCTCCCCACCTTTGAGCAAAAGAGAGAAATTCCAAAATCCAAAGGTCTGGGAGGGAAAAGTTCAACCCTCCCTAACAAGGTGTGACGGGTCCTGATTTGGACTACGATCCTGCATACAGGTCGTCCTCGACTTATAACTACAATTAAGTCCAAAATTTCCATTGCTAAGCAAGACAATTGTTAAAGAATTTTATCCCATTTTACAACCTTGCTACAGCCACAGTTGCTGAGTGAATTTGGTTTCCCCTTTCACTTTGCTCATCAGAAAGTCGCAGGAGGGGATCACATGACTCTGGGATACTGCCACCATCACAAATGCGAATCAGCTGTCAAGCATCCAAAGGTAAATCACATAGCCATGGGGATGCTGCAATGGTCCTAAGTATCAAAAATGGTCATGAATCACTTTTTTCAGTGCCGTTGTAATTTTGAATGGTCACTGAACTGTTGTAAGTCGAGGTCTAACTGTAATGGTTCTTTCCTTCAGTCAGTCACATGCCAGTAGAACCTACTTCTAATCCCTGGCCCTATAAAGTTGATAAGTTTAATAAATGTATACTTGCACTGAGAGGAAAACCCAAAGCAAGCAAATGCAGAGAACAGAAAGGTGAGGATCACCATGTATAGTTCTGTCTTCATTTTGAGAGCCTTGAGTTGCCCATGAAGAGACCTACAGACAATTGAAATCAGTTGACATTTAGTAGCTCCCCAAGACGCTCAATGTTTACTAAAAGAAGTGTTAGGGAACTCTGGGTCACATGGAGATGAAAGCATTAAGAGTGGTTCAAAATACACTTCTTCCTCTTCCACAATTTAATATTAGATGTTGGTGACTTAGGGCAAATAAACAGAATGAACATCAAAGCAGAAAATGGGACTACTAAGCTTTACTTGCCATAGGCCGTTAACCGTTCTTAAAAAAAACAAATCCCTTTTGATAAGAACAGTAAATAAAGCAGAAGAATGGAGTCACA